ATTTGAAGTCTGTACATTCATAGCTGACTTGAATGACTTTGATCTCCTGTTATCTAAAAGCCCGGCGTTGTATAAAGTAGTCACTGTAGTCTATGTTGTAGCTCTCAGACTGGATCCATCCTGTCTATAGGTTTTCGTTTGTTTGTTTCCTGGACGAGGCAAAAAACCTGTTTTAGTAGTGGGTGCTTCCTACAAATGGAAAACATTCTCCAGGGGAGAGCTGGGCAGAGCAATGGCTGCTGCTGTGTCTAGGTGCATGGGGTACCATTTCCTGCTGCAGTGGAGGTAGTAGCCTCTCCCAGTGGTAACCGACACCATCCTCGCCCCATACGTGGCGGGCAGGAGCATCAGAGGAGCAATCTGTGGTGAGTTAAAATAGTGCTCTTGCTTACTGCTGAAGAGCAGGAGAAAAGGATGCTACTTTGTGACTCAGCGTGGACCACCTGATGTGTGCATTGTGTGGAGAAAAATGATCAACAGAATAGATGCTAAGCTGCTGTGTGTAAATTGGATAACGTGGGCACAGAAGACATCAATGATCCAAACATTTTATCTTTTTAAGGCTGTGAAGATGATCCAGCTGTGATGCTCAAGTATCTTCTTAACATTGTTTGAAAAGTCGAAGATGGAAGTTTAAGAGGTGGAGACACAGCAGCATTCTTAACACAGTTAATGGAAAAATATTAAGGGAAACAAATGTGGCACTGTGCACAGGTCTTGTGAAAAAAAAAAGTAGGTAGTGGAGGGCTGGCAAAACTGCAGTGATATCTACTTTCCTCTACTTGTTCCTTTTCTCTAGCAAGCAGAGCAACTCTGGGTAGTTCTTCCCTCATTATTCTTGATTGTGTGCTCCCTTGTGTGTCTGTGGCTGTGCAGTGGTCTGCATGAGGGAGAACTCATAATTTGGTTTATGGATCAAATAACTTTCATTTGGGACTTGCCTCCTGGTTTAATTCACTACAGCAAAGGGATTGTGCAGTTTGTGTTGGGAAGCTCTACTTCCACAGGTGAAACTAGATGAAACTTCCACTGATGAAACTAGAACCTGAGGCTCCATAATATGATTAGTTGCTCAAACCATAATTCAGCAAACATGATTTGCGCTTCCTTTGTGGCATCTACTTAGTTTTGCTAGTGGAAGTGTTTGCAAGTTTGCATGGCAGGGAAGATAATGGAATTGATTGGAGTTTAAAATAACCATTTGTTTCTTCGGTTATCTGTAAACTAGATTAGGTACTCAATCCACCATGCAGCCCTACAGATACAGTACTGCCACAACTGAATGGATGTGTTGGGACTAGGAATGAGAGGCTGACGATGTTGGCAGTGTTGTAGAAACCTTACTTGCCAAACAATGGCTTTGATTTCTTAAGTTTAATATCCATTTAAAAAAAGTACAGATCAAGCCGATCAAACAGTTGGAAGCATTGCTTCCCTAAGAGTGACGTATGTATAGATGTTATGATGTCAGTTTTTTTCATAGGCATGCAGAAATTCATGTGCATGAGAGCTAGATTAAAGGTATTTAAAAACTTTAAAATGGAGAGATATTCAATGGTCTGTTTCATGGCATTTAATTTAGGTCAGGGCACTGAAAACATACTTGCTACCAGTTCTTGATCATGCGACTGCAACGTGTCTGAGAACTGAAGGGCTTCAAGGACTCTGGTTAATATCCTTAAATATTCATGGTAATGAGTCTTTATTTTGTTATAACGAACATAGCAGAATATGTTTCTCTTGTTTTCAATATTCTACATAGAAACAGTATTCCATAGGTTACTGAAACTACTGTAGAGAGGCTATCAGTTTGATTAGGACCAAGGTAGTATTTTTATCTTTCTCTAGAGAATTTTGGTAGGTGTGGATATTGAAATAACTTTTTGTCTGCCTTACAGTCAGGTATGAGGCATATTGGCTGGTATTTTGGTTTTCTGAAGATCAGAGTATCAGATCTTGGTCTGATGAGGGTTATGTTTGAATTTGGTTTACTGATAACTTGAAATCATGACCTTACTTGCAGAAATCCCTTTAGTTACATAGTTACATACTCAGATGGTTATCAGTGTACCATTTAGTTGTCTAAATCTGTTGCTAGGTTTGAGCATGGCAGCAGTTGTAAGCAATATGATTTGATGTGCATTGGGAGTATGCATGGGGAGCTTGTTACATAGGAGCATATGATAAGATACCATCTCTGGAAATCTACTTTCCAAATTAAAAGCTAGATTTTGTGCTAAACAGAACTTACCATTTCAGGTTAAATTTTAACTGACATTTATTATTACATCTCCACAGGGGAACTTTAGATTTGCTAAAAGTATTGCAGACTGTTTTTCCTAGTTGTGTGAGACCCAAGTTTTCATCTCTTGAAAGTTTTTAGGGTAAACTTGATTGTTTTAAAATGCTGTCATTAATTAATTTTTTTTGTTTTTGTTGTGAAATGGCTTGGCAATAGTCGGTTCAAATAGTCATTTTAATTTGACAATTCAACACATTCTGCATCTTTCAGTATACAGGAGAAAGTTCAAACTTCAATTTTGCTGTGCCAAGCATGAGTGGAGTTTGCTTCAGGGAACTTTGGGCTCTGTAAAAAGGCCTGCAGAGCAAATCATAGTTGTTCAGGTTATCAGCCAAATACACAAACTAGACCTCTCAATCAAAAGAGTTTTTGTACTGATAACTGTTCCAAATGTGTTTGTCGGATTGTTGTTTTATGAAATTTTTAACGTGTTTGAACACTGAGAAGCCAGTTTCTTGTTGGTTTGAACTGGTGTGAATGGGGGTGACTTGAATTTAGCTGTTAGGCTACGTAAGTGGAAGGACTAGCTCTGAACACTTATTCATATTTGTACTTCTTTAAGCAGTGAAACCATAGCAGAGGCTCATAATTTCTAAAACGGTAGATTGTTTTCCTTTTGTTCAAACACTTTGGCTATTAATGAAAAAATACTGTGTTTGCTGGCTTCTACTTAGCTATTCTGGATGTACAGTGTGCTAATGTAAATCAGCAGTTTCTGCTTCTATAAATAGACTTTTTCAGCAGCTGCAGAGCAAAACTGACAAGCTTCTGGTCATTTTTGTTATTGCCATTCAGAAATTGTTTGAATAGCTGTGAAAGTGTCCAGTGGTATCTATGCCTTCTGTAGTGACATTTGCAGACTGAGCTTAGGTTGTCAGTAGGGAGGAGGAAAGAGAGTGAATTTATAAGTCAACAGTGTGAGAGCAGAGGCAAAGAGCTCTGTATTCCTTCATTTGGGAGTCCTTAAGCTGAGTTTGGAGCTCTTTTATATAAAAGACACGCTATCCAGCTGGCTAAAAGTCATGAGTTCTTTAACAGGGTCTGGGGATAGAATTTATCTAACTTCTTTATAGCTGGATATAAGGCAGCCTTTACAAGCGTTCTCTGTTGGGGAACATCATCATACTGTGCCTTGAGAAGCTGTCTCCTAAAATTTTCAGTTCCTTCTGCTGCTGGGTCTGGTTTTGTCTGCTGCATGGGAAAGAAAGAGCCAGGCAAGAATGCTTACCTTCTACAGCGTTCCTCCCCTCCTGCACCATTGTGGGAGCTCTTGTATGGCTGCAGAGCAGCTGCTGCTGTTCAGAAGCAAACTAGGAAGTGGTACCAGTGTGGCTTGCAAGAAGAAGAAATGCTAACAGGCCAACCAAGTTGCCGTTGTTGTTTGTGGACACAGGAGAGGTTGCCAGGAAAGAAAAAGTGTTGAATATCTTTCATGTGCGCATTTAATTGAAGTCCCGTGTCTGTGTTTACATGGGTGTTTTGTTTTTTTTTTTTCTTGAAAGCTAGCAGTCTCACTACAAGGTCTTAGGAAATATCTTGGGCTGCAAGAATTATTTTCCTGAAATAGATATATGCTTACTTCCAATGTTTCCCAAAGTACATATACTAAAATGGATGGTAGATTCAGCTTGTGCTGAAAGACATGGAATGACTTTATATTCCTCCTCTAATAAAAGCACGTCTTGAATCTTGATACCCAACCTCTGTGAATAATATATAAAGGAAAGGAAATTATGAAATATAGTACTATAATAGCAGGTGGGAGTAGAGAACATTTGTCAACTGTTGCTTTAGAAACAGCACCATCAGCCTGTGAGGTGGCTAAAGATCACCTAAAAGTGAAATTCAGTGTATTCCAAAGCCTTGGAAACTGGAAAGTTTCTTAGCATCTTAATTGTATGTTTTACCAGTGCTTTAATCTGTATTCTTTGTACTGAATTAGATCTTAGTGATGTTAACTATTATTCAAGAAGAAACACAGAACCCTGACAACTAGACTCTTAGCTTATTATTTTTAATGTTTGAAATGTATGTATGTTTTTAAACTTCTAATGGATGTCTTCTGGCTTGATTGCTTAAATATTTTTAGTGCTCTGCTACTAGAAAAATGGATCATACTAATTCATCATAGAAGAAAATACTGACAATGTGAAAAAGCACAAAACGTTTAAAAAGAAAACGTGGACTTGTTCTTTTTAAAAATGATTCCTCTCACATTTTATTCAGCATTTTAAGGGAGTAATTATAGTTCATTCACTGTGAACGACCATTTGTGGCATTAATGAGGTCTAAATAATTAGGAGAGATGAGGAATATGGTATTTGCCAGATCCTGCAGTCTGTTATGAGATCTAATTGAAGTACAAAGTTTAGAAGAACTAAATGGTTCTAAATAGTACAAACTTTAGAAGAACTAAAGAATAAGTATCTCAGAGTGCTTTTAAAGTTTATTGCTAAAATGCAGTATAAAAAGTTGCACTTTTAAGTATTTCAAGAAAAGATGAGCGTGTTGTGTAGTAGCTTAATTCCTTAATTCTTAATTTTGTGGAATGAATGGAAAGGAGGAAAAATCGTAATTTTGATGTAAAATTAGTTTGACTGGTATAATTCTTTGTCCTTTAAAGACGGACAAAAGGAGTTCATTCAAGAATCTTTGTGTGAGAGACTTTACTAAATAAACCTTTTATTTCTGCTTTTAGTCAGCAGATAAGCAGCGAGCCCTGGAAGAAACCAAAGCCTACACAACCCAGTCATTAGCAAGCGTAGCCTATCTGATCAACACTTTGGCCAACAATGTTCTCCAAATGCTGGATATCCAGGCATCCCAACTTCGACGCATGGAATCTTCAATCAACCATATTTCACAAGTGAGACTTTTCTACTGATTTTTTTTTCTCTTTGTTCTTGAAATTAACCACAGCGAGTAAAACTCTCACCTGACATTTTGTGACTGAGAAAAATAGTCGCATTTAGAACAGAAGGATGCATTTCTTCTCATATTAATTCTGGGAATGGGTCTCATCATGTGATTATGTGTCTGTGTTAGTGTGAGCATTTTACATAGGATATGAGATTAAATGTATTCTTGGCCAGTTTATTGTTTGGAGAGGGGTCCATTCTGCATAAGTGAAAAGCACAGAAAAATCGCTAATGGAAAAATCAGAATACTATGTTAAGGGATAGATTAAGCTTTCCAGCTCCTGTTTGGTGACCTACTGTACCTGGTATTTATTGGCTACAGCACTTAAAATTAAAAGAAGGAAATATGAAATGGATGGTGGAAAACAGTACTTGTCATTTTTCTACTTTTCCTGTTGCTGTAATACTGGTATCTAGTGACAAAAGCATAGATGACAAAAATAGTTTGCTCCTGGCTTTTCTTAATAAAATGCAATTTGCAATGACATGAACAGAAGGCAAAATTAATGTTTCAAGTTTGTGTATGGCTGCAGAACTCCTGCCATTGTTTGCAGTTTTTCTGAGCAGCAGTAAACTAAGCTACTGTTATCAGGAACCCATGTCCCATCACCATGCTGATGAGAGAATTTTGACTGCCAGAATGGGCTGAGGGTGCATGATAGATTTATTGGAGGTTTACATGCCAATGATGGATTAAAAGAGAAATTAAGAGCAATGATACAGCACTTTCTGTTTTTCTGCTACTGGTGAGTTGGTTGGCATCCTTACTGAATATTTTGTGTCTTATTTGACCGATAAATTTTGGCTGCTAGGGTTTCTTGATCTCCATGTGATAACATCATAAATTAAATAAAGAATATTGTGGTATTTAGAAAGGCCTTTGAAAGTAGGAGCTGTGTAAGGTAGGAAATAAGCAGATTGAGCTGATCTGTTAACTTGCTGGGGCTGAAAGGATTGCTGAGCTAGCAGAGGTTTGAAGCAGCAAAAGTGAATACTTTTATGCTAGCTTATTGGGCTGAATCACTGAGGGGTCAGGTGAATTCCAGAGCAGGTGCAAAGGAAGGGGTGGGGAGGACTTTCCCTTCTGGTAGTAGTACGCTATTAGATTGCCTCGGTTCTCTCATGCAACTGCATCCTCAAAAATAAGCTGAAAAGTTTGGGTTTTTTTCTGCTACATGCTTCTTGTTAATCCATGGACAAGTCAATTCATTTTTTCCCCAGAAAATGTCAAATTACTCTGTGTGTGTGTGCGCGCGCGTGTGTGTATGTGCTATATATATATATGCGCTATATATATATATATGCTGTGTATGTGTGTATATGCCTCTGTGCATGTATATAGGTGTGTGTGTATGTATGTGCGTCTTGACAGGCTAGTGCCAGCTGACAAGTATTTCAACTATTTGAGAGCCTGACACAAAAGACAGTATACGAATAAAAATATTCAGAGTTCACTGGATTGTGCATTTTGGAGATGTGGAAAGTTCATTTTGTCACACAGTTTCTGTAAAGTAGTTTTTGGAGAAAGGCCCATAGCATTTTAAATTTTTTCCTTCTGAGAAACAGATTGAGATGCTAGGTTAGATTGTCTTTGGCATTTGTACAAAATGGCTGGTTATTTAAAATGGAGCACTAAATTACCAGTGCCCAACACCTAATGAAGATGTATCTGCCAAAATTCATAGGCTGCGCTTGAACAACCAAATAGAAGTTATTTTTTTTTAAAATATAGCTGTAAAATTAAAGGGGTTTTTGTTGTTTTGGGGGGGGGGGTTTGGTTGGTTGGTTGGTTTTTTTTTGTTTTGGTTTTTTTGGAGTCTGCATCGTTCATATGTAGGATGCTCCCCAGATCTTCATGGAAGAAATTATATCAGAGGAGGAGACAGTACTCGACTTTTGGATATTACATACATGAAGTGTGTTGATCCAATGAACTTTATTAAGCTGAATTCAGTATGTTCGGAAATGGCTTCATCCCATGATACCAGTGTTGTAGATGGTTATATTATCTGTCTAAATTTCAGTGGTTGTTTTTCTTTTAAAAATAAATTTATTTTCTCACAGTTTCTGTGTAATAAATAATTTCTTTTCAGGAAATTTGATTATACTTCTCCTGGAACAAGCCTAACCTGCAGAAGACTTCCTCGGTCTTTTTTATGTTGGGTGTAAAGTTTAGTGGACTGTTTACTAGTACCACTTAAAAAGCCTCATGATATAATACCTCATTGCCAAATTATGATTTCAGTCAGTCTGACTTGAAATGGTGTCAGTAACGTAGAACAGAAAACAGGGCGGTAATTACCATCTGCTTGCAGTGCATTATTGCACTAATGCTTTGGTCAGTAGGTATTGATATTTAAGTTTAGAAAACACTAATCCAAATTATGGTATCTGGATGTATAATACTGCTTTTAATTCTGATTAGGAATTCCACATATTCTCCAAAGAAGGGAACAAAATCATGTGGTTCTTAGTAAGAAAACTTTTTCAAAAGTGCTTGTTTTGTTCAAGTGTAGCTCCAACTGGAAGAGATGTGATTAACTTTAGAAGATAAAATATTCTGGTTCTCCGTTCATTGATAGAATGCCAATTTATATAACTTTCCGTGTTTCCTTCTAAATGCCAACTTAATCAAAGAGCTGAAAAGGAAGCTGATAACCATTTGTGTTTTTTCAGATTATATATAGGTCCTGAATAAGGAAATTGTTACTATTGAAACTATTTTTATGCAAGTGATTAAATCCTATTGGTTTAAAATTTAGGATTACTTTGATTTGGTCTGAAAGCTGATGAATCTATTCTTATTTGCCTTCTTGTCCAGAATGAGATGATATGCAGCGTTTCATATTTGGCTGAAAATTTAAATCCTAAACACAGATCATCTGTATAAATATTTATACATGTTAAAAAAAATTGTGTTAAAGTTTTCAAGTTAGCAGACACTGTGAAATGTTGCTAATGTCCAAATTCTTTAAATTAATCTGGCAGATTTTCAGGTTTTAATATTTGTATGATGAGAAATATTTTTTCAGGTTTAGTTATAGAATACTCTTAGTTAGCAAAGTCATCTTTAAAACTCTTCTCTGATGCTAATTATATGAACAAGCGCGTTATCACAATGACGAGTGATAGTGATGAATTATCTCCAATGGCACTGCGTGATCTGCTTCATCCTCTTCTTACAGAATCTGACTCCCATGATATCGGCCGTGAGAACAGATATTGAATAGACTGCAGACTTGAACTTCTCTATAGTTAGCATGTGTTGCTTAGCTGAACTGTAGCAATATGTGTGAGCTGGTTGGTCTCTGCAGGTTCACTTGGACCTTCCATTGATACGCCAGTAAAGGCTTGTAGCCGTTTTCAGTTGTCTTATTCTTGCAATTTACAAGAATAGCCAAATGCTTTCAAAAATGGTAATGAAAATCTAATTTTCCACAGTATATATTACCTGTTTATGGAGCAAGTAGCTTTTCAGCATTTTTGTATCATTATGACCTCTTTCTTTGTGTATAAATTACGTACAAGTTGAGTGGAGGCAGTTAATGTCACATTTCTAACGTGTCAAAATTAGACAGTTACTCATTTTAAAGTAATAATCTAGTTTTCAAGGTAATTTGCAATTGGTTTGTTTAAATGCTATCAAATTAGATTTAAAAAAAAAAATAAAAGCCCAGCAACACTATATTTAAGCATTCTTGTAAGATTTTTTTTAAACTGAATTTTAAAAGCCCAGACTAATAGACTGATGATAGATTTAAATTAGAATGTTTTGAGAAGAGGAAGAAATAAAGGCTTCTGGAGACTTTTATTTATGAAATGTCATTACAGTTTAGACTTTCAAAGTGCTGTCATGGTTTAACCCTGGCCAGCAACTAAGCACCACACAGCTGCTCACTCACTCCCCCCCAGCAGGTTGTGGGGAGAGAATCAGAAGAGTACAAGTCAGAAAACTTGTGGATTGAGATAAAAACAGTTTAATAATCAAAATAAAATAATAATACTGATAATAAATTGCAATGAAGAGGAAAATAACAAAAAGAGAGAAATAAAACCCAAGAAAGAGAAGTGATGCAAATGAAAACAATTGCTCACCACCAACTGACCGATGCCCAGCCAGTCCCCTAGCAGCAGCCCCCCCGCCAACCTCCCCCGGCTTTATATTGCTAAGAATGACATCATATGGTATAGAACATTCCTTTGGTCAGCTGTCCCAGATGGGTCCCCTCCCAGCTTCTTGTGCACCCCCAGCCTCCTCGCTGGTGGGGTGGTGTGAGAAGCAGAAAAGGCCTTGACTCTGTGTAAGCACTGCTCAGCAGTAACTAAAACATCCCTGGGTTATCAACACTGTTTCTAGTGCAAATCTAAAGCATAGCCCCATACTAGCTACTCTGAAGGAAATTAACTCTACCCCAGCCAAAACCAGCACAAGAAATTTCACTTACAGGTAGAACAGAATATTTCTCAAAACTCTGAGTTCAGTGACTTTTAAGTGAAGTGGTAAATAGTGTTAACTTTAGAGTCCTAGAAATGATTTAATGTTTTGTCTATTTTAATCTTTACAGATCTTGAGACTGTTTTTAGTGTATTCAATATGGAAACATGATGTTTCAAAATGGCCAGCAAATTCCTAATAGAAAAAAATGCAGTGGTTTATACTTTTTCCCCCCCTTAAGCTATCACTTCTTTTAATTGCAGGCATCTTGGAAAGCATACGAAAAGATGATAGTAATGAGCCTAAACTCTAACCAACTGTCATTTAAAAGCTTTTGCCAAAGGTAATGGAGCTATGGGGGAAAAAGTGTGTCATAATGCTGTCAAGAGTCTGAAATTTCTTGTTAGAAAACAGTGTTTTAAGTTATAGAAGGGCACAGTGTATCCCATCTGCTTTTCCTGACAGACTTTCCAAGCCAGGTGTTTTGTTAGTCTAGCTCTAACCCCAAGAATTTCTCAATGAATGTTTCTAAACTGCTGAATAAGCATTCTGCTAGCATTCTCCTGTCTCGCTTAAGGGATTGATGCTAGTACTGGAGGCAATAATTACCTGTGTGTTGAGGATAAATGTTTTAATTTTCTGCAGTAGCAGGTTAATCTTTGTTCCTTTCTGTACTAATCAAATACCTCAATGTTGCTTTCTGCTGTTTTATAGGTGTCTTAAGGTCTTATGACTCCAGTAGTCTACTAAGCAAGAAAATGAAATTTTTTATAAACCTGCCAGCAAAATGCTTTTCAATACAATTTTAGGAGTATGTACCAGAATTACATGCCGTTTTTATACTCTTAGTTATTCCATAGCTATTCAAGGTAAAGGAGATGTTCTGAATTGTCATGCAAGAGAATTCCCATTAGATGAGCTTCAGGTTTTAATTAGGTTTTATGCATTTCATTGTTTGTTACTGTAGCCATGCCTCACTGATCACCTTAAGGATCCTTAAGGAAACCAGTTGTACTCACAACTCCTATGAATAATTAAAGAACCACACTTTTCATTCATGGAAACAAGTTTCCACAGTGCCAAGATACCATCGCTACGATAACCTATGTATTAAATATCTGTACTCGTATTTATAGATAATTGTGTAAGCACATACTAGAAGAACATCTTTAAAGTTGCAGAGGTCAAGCACTTGAAATGGAGAGAAAGGGAGAAATCGTCTTGCCAACACTGCACTAATTACTTTACTTTCTGATTTGTAGATCGAAATTAAGGCTCTGAGAGTGTAGTGTCCAAAGCATAAACTAGTTTCGAGTGCCCAGATTCAGACCCATAAGATTTTGATGTTTCAGTACATTTGAAACATCATATGGCATTTGAGGTGCAGCTGCTATTGCAGCTGAGGTTGTTTAACATTCTAGCAAATGGTATCAGAGGCCTGTGAGACAAGGAACATACAAGTCAATGTAATGTTTTTGCACTTCTCTAGTGACATGTCTAGATCATAGATGAAGTCGGAGATAATCGTTGAGATTGAATTCTTCAGTGGTATTAAACACGAGACTGTCCTCCAAGTTGTTGCAATAACATACCGTTTGCTTAACCCCTCAATAGATGAGGTGAGGATTCTGTAGATGATCTCTTTGGCATGACTGCTACTTGTTCCAAAACTTCTCCTTCCACTATGCTGCAAAAGCAAAGGTCTGGCACGGATAAGGGATAAAAACCTGCAATGGAAGATAAAATATTGAATCTTACCCTGATGCAGAATGGTACACTTTTGGTACTCTGGCCTGGAACATGTTTGTGTGTTCTGTTTGCACTGGTGCTTGTACAATCAATAATATCGTAAGAGCTGTGAAGATCTGATCTGCACTGTTGTATTGGAGGGTGGTATATAGACCTGGTCATCGCAGGGAGCTTCGAGAAGGACTTTGGCAAAATTGGTTGGAGACTGGTTTGGCTGTTAAGTAGTCGTGGAAATATCTGTGTTTCTGATAAGCTTCTATGAACCATGGATTTCTGCAGAGTTTATATATTGGCCAAATCTTGGTGGGTTTTTGTGAGGGTGATGTTAAGATGTGTCCCAGATAGTTTAACTACCCCTATTAAATTTCAAATCATGCTCAATGAACTTGAGCTTTCCAAAGAGAGGGTTGCCGACATATTTTGACCTTGAATAATCTATTTTTCTGTAGCTTTGTTTTAAGAAATAGCTCTTCAGCTTTAGTAGAAACCTTACAGTTCTAGGCAGGTGGTACTAGAGGTGGCAGAAATGTACATGACAAAGCTGTCTTCAATGCTTAATTTTAGCAAAGTTGCAAGATTTTGAAAATATGCTGCTGGGAAGTACTGGGTAATCTTGATAGGTAATAATTGAAGTTGCCATATAATGCCCCTGTTATCTGTGGAAATTCTTCTCTGGAAAGAATGTGAAGAAACAACTTCTTGGAAGTGGTTGGTTGTTGGTTTTTTTATTTATTTTTTTATAGTTTTAAAGGTTGTGATGATTACACAAGGTAATACACGGTCCATTTTGCTTGTTTTCCTATCAGTAACACAAACAAAAGGGTAAAACAGTGTAACCAACCCCACTGCCGCAATCCCTGCCCACAAAAAAATAAAATTAAAATATGTTATGAGGATGATTCTCATTTGTACCTGTTCCTTAGTTACTACAGAGCCTGTCTCCTAACTGTGAGAAGTCGTTCTGGTACCATTCATAATCACTGAAGTGGTAACAAGAAATCCTATGAATGTTTAGAAATCCTAATGGTAGTGATTCTGGCTGTTTTCTTACTCTTTTGTTAACCCTGGAGCTAAAAATGTTTGTTCACAACTCTGGCAAATTTCCACATAAGGAAAGCTGTTTTGTGAGCAAGGAGTTATTTTTGTTTTAAATGATGCAAGCAACTCCATGATTTAAGAGATTTTATTTTCCTGGAAGGGATAGATAGACTTTTTGGTAACTTTTTCCTAGTCTTGTGGCCTAACAAGATTCAAATATGTGTTTTTAGGCAATGAATTTTCAGCAGGGCTTTGTCTTACACTAGAGATTCTCCTGTGGTACTCATTGTAATACGTGGAGGGAAGGATTTTCGGTGTTGGCCTTGGGCATTCTAAGTGAAGGTACTAGGCTTAACCGCTGGCTTCATTGTGAATAAATTAGTACTGAGCACCTTCTACAATCTAATCATTGCTTTGTGATGAGTGATTTGTAATGACTGAAATACCTTGTCGATTTGTCTGAGTGAAATTTTATTCTATCATATGACTACCAGTCCTAGTGTAGCAAACTGTTCTGCAGTGTAAGAAAACCTGCTTATGGTTTGTTTTTGAGGTCATAAAAATTAAGGTTTGGGAAGGTATCCTTGCACTTAATCTAGTTGGAGACTATTTCAAAGACAAGCTTAGAGAAAAATTGTAAATTTAAAAAGGATGATTGAAAGAATTGTATAAAGCAGTGTCAGTAAATTAATGGGAACTACTAAGAATGGAAAGGAGAAGGAATTTGGCTGAACTGTAAAGAATGAGAGTACCAGAAAACCCAAAGAACCTGTGGCTATTAGTGTGGGTTTAGAGGTGGCAAGTTTAACAAATTGAACAAAGATCATGTAATCAAGTATATGTAGTGATATGTTTAGCACAGTGTACAGAGATCTTAGAAACGTTGGAACTGATTCAATTTTTTTTTTATACTGACTCTGTATTCAAATGCATACCACTGTTAGTAAATACACTGCGTCTTTTGTAGACGGTGGACATTCACAAAGAGAAAGTTGCTAGAAGAGAAATTGGTATCTTGACTACAAACAAAAACACCTCAAGAACTCACAAAATCATTGCACCAGCTAACTTGGAGCGACCAGTTCGCTACATCAGGAAACCTATTGATTATACAATTCTAGATGATATTGGACATGGAGTGAAGGTAGGTGATATTGTTAAAACAGCCAAACTGCAAATACGTTGTCTTTGTGTATTTTCAAAATAACCTGATGCTTTTCATGGTAATATACCAGTTTCTCCTTGCCTAGCCAGTGTGTCTCTAAACATAAGAGGAGTCCTGTCCAGTTTGCAGTTGCCCCTTCCCGTTCCTTTGCCCCAGTGTTTCTAAACCTTGCAAACCCACCGAATCTTATTTTTGAGCATATTCGGGACTATGGGTCTCACCTTTTAAAATGCTTCTGAATACCTACTTGTGTGATGCTGCTATTATTGTTTGGATCAGTTGCCAGGGATATACCTGGGGACTGAAAGGCTAATGACTGTCACTTTTCTGCCTGAATTAGCACCACAAAGTATGATCCAGCTGTAATTGCCACTGGTTTACTTTGAAGCTCACCCGAAGAAAGGGTTTGCATAAGAAGTATTATGTGCTCCCTTTTCTTCTTTCTGTCAGAGTCAGTTATACCCATCTCCTGTGATGTGCTTTGTTAAAGTGAGCTCTCTATGACTTTTGTGCCATATGGGGTTTCAGAATGGGAATATTGCTGCCAAGTTTGAAGCCAGCTGGTCCTCCCTTTTAAGACTAGGAAAAAAGGAGGAATTTCAGGGCAAAGATCAGACTGAGACACAACTGGTGGCTTTTGTATGCAAGTGGTAGATCAGTGTACACGACACCAGTAATATTGTGTGTGAGATCAGACATGCATTTTTTAAAAGGACGTCCTGAATGTAAACACAGTCTCAGCAGGTGTGAGCTCATTATTAACTTGTGCTGCCAGGAAAACAAATACGGAAATGAGAACACTGACAGTGTTAAAGTTCCAGGAGAAGAAAGGTAAATAACACAAAGTGGTGTCATTTTTACATGACAAACTAACAAATCTGTAAACCTGCTAAGTAGCAGTAAGGTAAGATGCTTCTTCCAGTCAAAGTACACCAGAATTTCTTTTGCTTGACACCTAACTGCATTAGGTTGTCTATGTTGTTCAGTTGGAACTGTCTGGATAGTCATGTAAATGACAATAGGTTGTTTAACCAAACTCTTAAAAATTCAAATTCTGAACAGTGCTATTTAAATATCTTTCCCAAGCGATTTTACTCAAGGTCGTCTCAACATTCTGTTCGTTAACAGAAAGTCTTTTTTCCCCATTTCCTACCAAAAGAGTCAACCTCACTCTGTAACCTTAAACAGATGTAAAAAAGACAAGTGACTCTTTAAGCTTGATTTGGAAAAGGAAACCAAACCAAACCAAAAAAGCCCAGCATTAATAGCTACAGTTTTGACCAGGAAATTATTATCAGTCTTGTGTTAAAATCTACTGCCAATTCTTACAAATTTTGAATTTATGCAGGTCAGCAGAACTCCTTCTGGATATGGATGGAGCATATTAACCTGTAGGATTAATGTTGCTAATATTTTAATGATCACTTTTGTTTTAATGAGATTATTTTAGAACTCATTAAAGAATAGTTTTTAATTGCTCTGCACTGAAAGCGCTGGCTCTAAACCATTATAATTGGTATCCCACTTACCTCAGTGTAGCAGAATCATGCTCACTCTGATGCAATGAATTACGTTCTTCTGAAAGAACATAGTTCATCAAATGGATGATGACTCAAATGCGTGATTGCATCCATTTGTTATGCTTGTGATATGCTTGAAACATATTAAAAATTATATTTACAATGTACTGTATTTATGTAGAAAATAAAAAAGTATTGCGTACTTGTGAAACTATAAGCAGAGAACTTGACATCATGCTATCCTTAACATTAAGATCCATAGAGCTGTTCCAATCCGGTTAATCCTGTGTTCAGCACAGAAGAAAGAACCACTCTCTTGCTAATGGGGAGAAAGTGGCCAGTTGTGCTTATGAACCTGTTGTTTTTGTTCTGCTTGAGTAACTGCAGATTAGTTTACTAGATCTCTGCCTGGAGAACAACGAGCAAAAAAAGAAAAAGGGTAGGAGCTTTAAATTTGCCTATTTATAGCTCTCTATTGCTTGAGCTGTGTCATTTTTCCCTTCGAATGAGTATTCAGAAGGAGTTATTGGATAAATAGCATTAAAGTTCCAGTTAGCATCACGTGCTGCAGTCTGCATTCTTTGTCCTCTTTCTGCTTTTTCTGCTATAGGGCTTCCCCTCTAGTACTTGGACCAGAATTGTGCATTGTCAGGACAATCAAAGAGCTAATGCAGCAACCATTCATTGCAACCCCTGAGAAAGATGGCAGACTGGACAGAGAATTATACAGTAGAAAAAGGGAGCATCGTTGGCCAAGAGATCCAGTATGCCATGTTGAGGGAAGTAGTATAGGCACTTGAGCACCTATTCCTTCCATTCAGAAATTCAAAGCATCAGTGGATACCATCTTCAGGAACAGGTGCTCTACAATATAGTTTCTTAATCGGTGAGAGAGAATTTAAGTGCCACTATATATTTCCAGCAGTCCCTCCTCATCTTCCCTCCCTGAGGCTACAATGCTGCAAAAATTTAAAGAACCTTTTGTCTTAGAGACTTGCTTTCAATTTTTTCAAATGTTTCCTGAGTTACAAAGTCTTCCAACCTGTTCTTCCCTCCAAAGACTTCTTTCGTCAAGAGAATGAAAAAAAAAAAAGTTTGATCCATTCAAAGTGGTGTGTATTAAGGCACTGTAATTATTAGGCAGTGCTGCTGAGGAAAAGCTCTCAGCTCACGGATCCTCTAATGTACCTGGCCACCCTGTCTGGCCAGTACAGGGGGACCTGGTTTTCCAGTGTAGCTGTGTGAAGCAGAGACCGTTTTGGTTAATAGATCCATGGAACAGTAAACTCAGACAGGAGATTTTCTAGTAAATCAGATTATGTTTCTTTTTTAATACATTGGGGTCTATTTGTGATCTAAATGGATGAAACAGAGTAGTCACTCTGGATGCTCCACTGTTGAGATTCTGTATATTTAATGTTTGGTGTTACAAAAAGTGTGAGAAATGTAATGATACGTTTAGAGTAGCTGAACTGAAAACGGATCAAACGATACTCAAATGGAAGGATGAGTATTTTTTAAAAAATTATTATGAGGAAAGAAGATACATGGTATTGTGCCCATAAGTTGTAGGACTTAATGTCATAAAGCTAGCACTTAGGCTCTAAAATAAGATTTTGCTGTTGGTTAATGTCTTAATATAAAGTTTAGAAAATATTGATATGTGGTGCATTGTCCACATAGAGTGCTGTATCTCTTATAAGGCGTAATGATTTGCTCTTGATCTTTGTTCAAGAGATATCTCATGGCATCAGGTTAAGAGTTAACTAACAGCATTGTCTAGGAAAGAACATATATTAGCTTAATATTCTAGAGGCTTCTGTTTCAGCTAGTTGTAAATATGCTAACTCATGTAACAATTTAAATGAGCTCAGGGTATTGATAAGGCTATTCTTTGGGAGCTCAAATAAATTCATCTCTGAAGTTAATCCATCTAGATCTCATGATCCATTCTGAAAGAAGTTCACTTTTTGTTAGCATTGTATGAACTTGAGTAAACGGTGTACAAGCATTTGAGCGTTAATTTTAAGGTGTTAATCTAAAGGCTTTATGGTCAATGTATATTAAGAGTTTCAGCTTGAAAATCTTTTGTTCATGACACATTCTGCTTTAACCACTCTTTCTATGATCTACTGATACATTATTTTGTTAATGCTGAATGCTTAACTTTTTTCTTTCTTTTTCCTTTCTCTTCATATCCTGAAGTTCCAACTAACCTTTCAATGCTTTTTTTTCCTTGCCTCTTTTGTTTGCTCCATTTATGCATTAAGTGGTTGCTTAGATTTAAGGTAAGAAACCCCAGGGCTGGATTTCCATTCTTATTCTTCTGAGACTATTACACACGGGGAGATGATTAACATGAATGTTACTGATGGTTTAAAACAACGCCTGTTCTCCTTCCTGTGTATCAGACCTTTTGTTGAATGATTTCATTGCAGATAAACATTTTGTGATATAAATTGATGTATTTATGGAAGGAAGCTACCACAGTTCATTTTAAAAGCTTTGTGGCAAAATATTGACTGCCTTCAGCCTATCTACCAGATCATTTGCAAGGGAGGAATGTTGTGCTAACCTTGTGTAGACAAAAAGATACAGTGAATAGATAGCATCTGAATATGAGCCTCCCCCTGTGTAATATTCTTTTTATCCTATATACGGTGTAAGTTATGATTTGATTGGGATTAATGTTTCAGCGTGAGATTGCTCAAATAATGGGCTCCAAAGGTGTGTAACAAATTCAAATCTGTGTATTATTTTTTTTTAAAGTTGCAGTATCCTTAATTTTTTCAGAAACTGCTAGCACTATTTACATACTGAGAGGCACTCATATATGGAAATTTTGGCAAATTTGATAGTTGTGTAAAATATTTAATAACCCTTAAACAAGCTAAGTGATTTATTTAGTTGAATATTAAATGAATAGTGCATCAAAGAACTCAGACTGAAGCATGTCAAATTCTCAAGGGTCTTAAAGAGGTTTAAATGTTAGTAGCCTTAGTGGCTGCAGAAGTAGCAATAAAAAGCATCAAATCAATTAGACAAGCAGTTAAATGAAGTTACATGATACTATGTTGGAGTTCATAGCATATTAATAGATAGGTTATAGCCTTTATTGAGTATTGTGATATCCTCCTCCTCCTGAAGTGCAGCTGGTTTGGGGAAAGAGGGAATGAAAGGTTTTTAGTAGCAGGTGTCACAGTTTTAAAGAGGGAACTGTATTTTAGAACATAGAATATTAATATGTAGTGTGAGTATATTAATTAAATGACGTTCCAAGATGATGTGAAATATTTTTCATGGCTAAGTATTTTCCATGACTGGAAAAAGCTAAAAGAAAATCCTGCACATTCCTGAAAAGATTGCCTGTAAAACCAGGTATTACTGTAGATATCCCAATGATGTCCCTATGGAATTGACCAGATGGTACTTTTAGTAAGGTATTGAAGTGTATGTAGCACATCTGATCAC